CAATTAAGTACACGAATTTAAATAACCAACGTTCAGAATTATAATTGAAAATACTACTTTATCCCTTTGTAATTGGACTTTTAATTGGGTATAGTAGTATGATATACGAGTCAAGACTCGAGAGATGGTATACTCACATGTAACCTCCACCTCATTCGGTTGCCCTTATAACTGAGGTTATTATGTGTGGGCTTATCGGCTAATCTCTCTATTAGAATTTGGACTATGCAAATCACTTTGAAGCCTGACACAATGGAACTAGTTTTGTTATTAAAACAGCTTAAGTTTTTCTAATTAAACATTGGAGAATTTTGTTGAAAATGAAACTTGTTACTATTTTATTCAAATTGAAAACCCGTTTTAGTAAAGCAAAGTTAGGAATTGGTATTCTTATAAAGATGTAAAATTATATGAAAAATTACTTATTATTTATCAGTATGAAAAATAAGCTCCTTTGTGCTTCGCAAGGTACATTTTTCCTGGTGCATTATCATGAGGTTGCTTCTGCAGTCGATAACTAATACCAACCTTTTATTGTTCCCTTAATTTTTTTCCAATTATATGGAAAACCTGGGGGCCAATTCTACTAAATAAATTGAATCGACAGTACGAAAACGGATCGAAACCGAACGAAACTACAGTTTTTAATGGTTTTCCTATTATACAAAGTGACATATGATACAATTCCAGTTCTATTTTAGCTGGAATTGTATCGTATGTCACTAAGAATAGAAAAACCATTAAAAACTGTAGTTTCGTTCGGTTTCGATCCGTTTTCGATTCGATTTATACAAAATTTATTTAGTAGAATTGGCCCCCTGTACCCTGTAGTGAGAACAATAGTGAGTCGATGATGAATAAAACTATTGCACAGGAATCTGACAGATACTAAAAATATCATTCTAGTAATCAAAGCGGTTGATTATATCTATCGCAGGTAACCAAAGTCGCAAGGACGGTAGCTACGTTCCAGAGATCAAGAGGAACATCGGCTTAGTCAAAGATTCTTTAGCATGCGATCGATACGATGGACAAAAGCCGATGGAGACAAAAAGTCCAATCTTAATGTTGATAACTCTGCAATGACCACGATTCACCGTACTGAGGATCCCACAACAGAAAAAGAGATGAATTAAAAACGGCGTCTTTTGGAGTTTAAAAAAAATCTACAAATAAAATTGGATTCTTATTTGGCAAAATAATAGCGAAAATATTCGTTTAAAATCTAACATTTTGAATCGGTATAAAAAAAACTTGAGATAAATTTGCTACTGTAAGGGATTTCAGTGCCGAATGAAATTGTTTCTAAATCCTATGAATTCATTTGCACGCGCAAGAATGCTAAAGTAAATAGAATAATAAATACAAACGATTCTGTTTCCAATGTTGAATTGTTACTGAAGGATAAGGGCCCTTTCATAGTTTGATGACGGAGCCGATATCTTTATAACATCGAATGTATTTATTCTTATTAATCTTAATGAAAAATGCTTAAAAAATCCACCAGCCCCTGGTATTCTGAGATAGATCAAATGAATTTGTTACATCAAGAAAGATAGTTCATAAATACATAGACTTAGTCTCTGATTCAAGAATTAAAAGATGATAATAAACTGTTGGTGCGAGTCAGACAATTGAATAATAAATAAGGCGCCAGCTACTATATGTGGAAGCCGATAGTTCTTATTTATAAACCATTCGATAATTCCTTACTGTAAATTATATTGATTAAAAATAACTTGTCATTTTTTTCATTGCGTTTCAAAATAAATAAGTTAAAAACTAAAGAAAATAAGTTTTTACCCTCATCATTTGATATTGATCAATTCATTGATTTCATGTTCAAACTATACATGGCACCAAAAACCGTTTTTTGGTTGATAGTATCAAGCTCAAGCACGAAATTCTAACCACGTCATATAGATACTTACGGTTTAAGTACAACATACGTACGGACGTTGACCCACACGTAACATAATTAAGATGAGATAATGGTAATAATATGCCTTAGCATATGACTTATATAAGATCTGGAGCATGAGCTTTTAGAAATCTGATCTGTCCGCTCCCGGAAATATCAAGTACGTGCTTTCTGCATGAAATATAAAATCAGAATTGACGTTACATTATCAATGATCACTTTAATGACCACTAAAAATAATTATGAGTAGTAAAATAATCAAGTGTAGTGAAAATTATAATCGAGTGATACTTAAATAGAACCTGCTTTTACATTATTCGCTTACAGTCCTATAAAATAGTCTCTACATGTTTCTTTCGGTCCGGTTTTGTCCATTACTGTCGCTTTGTTTTCTGAATGGCGAACAAGCGAGCTTGAATTGTTTCCAGAGCAATGTGTGACAGTGTAGACCATTTGCACAAATGGCTTCTTTGTTTTTCGGGCCAACTAATATTGTCAACTATTTTTTTTCCTGTCTTAACATGTACATAACGCTTATTTTATATTAAATATTATCCATAGCCGACATATTTTATAATAAATTAACAAATTTATTGTAATTATGTGAAGTCAAGGTTTGTGTTCAAACTCGAATGTCAAATTATTGTTTAGGAACTGATATTTTAATAATTTCATTACTTAAATGTTATTATAACATTTAATCTATATTTGACACACAAGTAAATTAAAACAATATTCATAACTATAATAGTAATTGAATTAATTTGCTTTTGTATCTCAATTTATTTTACAGTATTTTGTATAATGCATAATTGAAATTTAAAAAACAGGAGTATTCACAGATAAACTTAATCACGCTTTGCTGATAGTTCGTCTCATTGACTCCATTAGTATCTACGAGACAAACACTTCTAAATAAAGTATAGAACGTTCTTTAAATCAGTCCATATTCTGATATTTTCAGGATTTCAGTCCTTTATACATAGGTATTATAAAAAATCCGTTTCTAACCAAATGAAATTTGATTTTACCAATTAAATTAGAAATATTTTTATATTTTAACCGACTTAAAAAAGGAGGTTATTAATATAATAACAACCGAAACGATTAAGATACTTCAATCTTGAGCAAAAAATATACAAGTACTTTGAACTTATGCAACTTACGAAACGCCATCCCGTAGATTCTTAACATAGAATAACTGCGAATTCGACGAAGCGGTAAATTCGATTAGATTATTATGACATTATTTCATAAATAATATCTGATCGTTTTTGTTTCATATCTGAATAATTGACGTTTTAAAAGTATTACATAATAACAATAAGAATGTTGTAACTAATGGAAAACGGATGTTGTTTTATTATTTTCTGTTGCTTTAGTAAATGGGATAGATGAGTAAATCGACAATAACACTTTCTATTACGTATATTTGTAGAACACTTGATGTCTCTTCGCGTCGGTATGCGAAAATTTACTTATTAAGACAGAAAAAAATACGTGTGTATGGGTCATAGAGATGTTATACTAGAGTTAGGAAGATATTATGGCTACGTGGAAACGTAACGCGTTTAAAACGAGAGGCAAGATCGCGGTAAACCATCAGTTTTTCTTTACTCCCGTATGCACATCAAATCAAATCTAAATCATTTGTTCAGTTTAGACTGTTACAAGCAATTGTGAAATTTGAAAGTCTATGCCATTGATTCGTAAATCTAGGGCAGGAGACCTTGTACTGAGAAGAACTGAAAAGAAACACAGCGAGGGCTGGTTTTTTCTCCCTGTTTTATTTCACACAGAGACGTCAAGATTGAATAGCATTTAACATAGCAAATAACAGTATGTTTTCAAACAATAGTATTAAATCAATTTCAATATCGAAAGTTATTTAAAGTAATGAAACATAAAATGTAGCATTTTTATCAAACAGATGGGAAAATCTTTCTTAATAATCGCATAATGTCTCAACACCGGTTTTAGGTATTCTAAAATTAGACCATTGGTATTGGTCCTGAGATATGATTCATAGTTGAAAGTGGCTACTCATGCTATTATCCAATGGATTTAAATATTTCGTGTTCAAAGTTAACTATTTAATATTCGAAATTTGTTATTTTATTGTAACTTGATATTTTGTTGTACGCTGTTTTAGATAGCAAAAAAAAAATTAAGACTAAAACAAATAACTCTCAACAGAAAATATTTATTTTGTAACATCAAACGTACATCCCAAAAATAGACTCGAATAGCCAAATTAAAATTCTCCATAGAAAAATGAAAAGACTGAATATAAGTTTTTAATATAAATTTTGTTAGGTAGATAATTAAGCATAGTTTTTGTTAATAAAGTGCGACTTTGATTTGACAGTTAAAGACGGCAACTTATTGTCATTGAACTTTAAAGGAACGATTAATAAGAAGCGTATCTGTACACCAAGACACCATTAATACGGGGGATTGTAACGCACATTCTACACACTGGAAACGTAAAGCTCTATTTACACTTCAACCAAATACAGCGGTGATAGGCGAGTTAAATCCTAGTTGCCTTCAAAAACAATAAGTAAACAGAAATAAGTTCTTTAACGAGTGAAAACTGGTGATGACCTGCACCGCTTCAACAGTTATCCTACAATAAGAAATTAACTCTAACTTAAATTCTGTAAAAGAGCTCCCCTGATACAAGTATTTATAATTTAAAGGATAGACTCAATTACTGTAAAAATGTAAAATACAACGAATAAAATACTAAAAATAAAAATAAATTCGAACGAATAAAGGTACATAACGAGCACGAAGAGGTCACATCAAACGTTCCATCGAGCATGATCTTACTATGTCACACTCACACTTATTTATTACATATCGAACAGTCAATAACATGCCAGTTCATTCTCCTAATCAGTTTAAAGCTTTAGGTTCTGAGTTTTAAATATAAAATCGATTGCGGAAACCTAACATGTTGTAACCTGAAGCTGTATGATATTATAACTGAAAATATTCATGGCGACACGCCCCATCTCCCGATCATTGTTTGACGATGCCTTTATGTGTTTAAGTTTACATAAAAAAATCTCACCTTGACACTGTGTGTCTTTTATTATAAACAGCAGGCACGAAGCGATAGTGATGAATCTCCAGCGTCGTCGTCCCATTTTGATTTTGTGTATTTTTCACCGTTTCATAACTAAATAACGGCACCAATAGAAGTTATAACACGATGAAAGTCACACCAGCATCGGACAACGCCATATTTGGCACGGAAATTGGCACAGTCATTGATTAGGTCTACACGATGTTGGCAGCACTGTCACATCTGAAACAAGATAAAAATGCACGTTAATTAATTTCTAACTCGGTTAATATTGATTTTGGTATGATTAGATAGTAAGAAATTAATATTAAATACCTATATAAATAAATATATAAATAAATTGTTCAAAAAAAAATAACAAGGACTAACATTACTACCAGGTTATATGTTAGGTACCATTATCCGATCAAAATAAGTCAGCACTTCCCAATTTCACATTTTGTCTTCTGTCATTGTGAATTTATTTTAGGCGGCATATGGTTTAAACCTAGTAGTATCATTATGCCTAGTTTAATAATAAGACAGATAAGATCGAAATATGTAAGCTCTATAGGGAATCCATAATAAGATTATACGTCAATATGCTCAACAAAAAACAATATCTTTGAGTGACTTTGTAACCGAGACTTGTCATGAGTAAATTTACAATAATCGCAATAGTTTACGTGTGTCTTTGTCTTTTTGATAAAACGGTAGTCAATCGATTTGGCTTCATTTTCTTACAATTTATAACTATTTTCTATAATCAAAGGTAATCATAATAATTAAGATATTGAACGCACAATAATGCTTCATATAGACATATTGTAAAATAGATAAATAAATTAGCTTAAATAGGATTTGTGGATAAAAACTAAAGGCCTTATCGTAGCCTTATGTTTTTATCCACAAAATCCCCATTAAATGCCTAATTAGTAGGTTGGTATTTTAATATATATATATTCAAAATACCAATATAAATAAATAAATTGTAGTATTCCGTAAATCTCTAATTAAAATCTAAATAAACGGTTGTGAATATTTGCGGAAAAACTAACACTCCCCACTAGACAGAGAGTCTTGGTGAGGATCAAAAGAATAATAGGATAAAAGTAGTAAAAATAGAGGACCGCGTTTGGGGTAATCCGTCAGTGGTCTCGAAAGGCGGGAAAAAAAGAATATTTTTATTTGTATATATACAAATAACCAGGTGACTTGGTTTTAGGTGATTCAAGATAAGGACCTAGTTTTGGCAACTTTAAGATTAACTAGGAATTGAATTTTGACAAATTACAGGTTTTGCCTTTGAAAACTATATCAGTTTTAGAATTATGGAAAGTATTGTACATTTTTGCTTTATAATAGGAAAAAAAGAGTGAAAATAGTTTTTCAAACTATCCCCTGAGCTTTAAGCCTTAAATGTATTAAATATTAGTAGCGCATTTGCGCAAAAATACAACTGTAACATTTCAATTTTAACGTTGCAGTCTACTATTAAATATATGTATATTATATAAATATATGTATTATAGCTCCTGCTTGATTTTATTAGTAATTTGCACAGCGCATATTTCTCTCATTACCTACCTTTGTATTTTTATTCTACACTTTTCCTAATGCAAATATTATCTAGAAAATATTTTGTTCATTCAATTTTAAATACAAAAACGTACATTGTGAAAAATTGAAGCATACCATTGGATTATTTGGAGTTTCATTTTATGTATTAACAATATGTAACGTACCATAGTTATTGAAACACTATAAGCTATCCAAATTTAGATATATTTTTTCCTGTACGCAGCAAAGGTTGCCTGGAGAAATTACTTTTTAGTAATTTCATTTTATGTATTAACAATATGTAACGTACCATAGTTATTGAAACACTATAAGCTATCCAAATTTAGATATATTTTTTCCTGTACGCAGCAAAGGTTGCCTGGAGAAATTACTTTTTAGTAATTAGGCCTACCAATGTGTATTGTAAGTGATTGTATCCATTTGTTTTATCCTGTATTGGTGTACAATAAAGCATATTTCATTCATTTTATCACTCGCTTTGTTGTCGTTCAAACAGCGGCGACTGATTGATACAACACCAAAGAGTGATGTATAATAACTATATTTTGCAGTCGTGAGAAACGAAAATAGTAAATTTGTCGAATATAACTTTATGATAAAAGAGGGGTGGACACGATTCAAATGATAAAAATATTGAGTTCTAAGACGACGAGTGAACTCATAATTAAATAGTTCTTTATATAGTCTGAATGCGTTTTTGAGTTGCCAAAGTAGTTGTCAAATAGAAAAACAAGTGAGACTCAGACTCAAGTGAGTGAGCAAATGAGACTTTGTTATGAAACAAGATATAAAAAGAACTAAAAGATGATAAATCAAATTAAATAATTTATTTACATTAAACAAAAAATATTAAATAAAAGGGACGAGGTGATTAGTGAGGTGAAAAGTGTAGAAGTGTGAGTGAGAGTGTCAGTGTAGGTGAAGGGGCGTGGGTCAGCGGTGAAGTTCCGTTGATGAAGTACTTCAGCAGTCTTGAGGGGCGTCTGGATCCCGAGCGTAAATTCGGCGAGGCGTAGTCTCTCGATGCGTCGAACAGGAGATTCTTCGGCAGCCAAGAACTGAGAGCGTAAATCGGTGAGGAGTAGTCTCGATGCGTCGAACAGGAGATTCTTCGGCAGCCAAGAACCGAGAGCGTAAATCGGCGAGGCGTAGTCTCGATGCGTCGACCAGGGGATTCTTCGGCAGCCCAGAACTGAGCAGCAGCTCGGGCCTAAGGCGTATACTCGCAGACAGCCTCCAGGAGTGAAGTAGCGAAGGAGGTTATAGTGGAGTATTGATTTGTTGTCGTCTAGTTAAAGCCAGAAAGATGTCATGCGACTTTGAGACCGTAACTTTGAAGAGTTCCCGGGGCAGTCGGCCCCGGGAAATAGGCCTTTTAAGAATTTAGCTAGCTCTGTACGAGCTCCAAAAAGCTAACTTGGCAACTGTTGCCGTTGAAGTGATGAAGAACTATTTGAGCGAGGCTATTTATACCTGAAGACGAACTCAAATTTAGAAGTAAATGATTTCAAATTAGAACCCTAAAAATTCAAAAACTACAGAGTTTCAATGCCTAAAACTGACAAACAATGAGTCAATTTTCATGAAGAGTATCAAATATAACCATAGCAACGAAGAAAAACTTTGATGTCAATTCTGTCAAAACAATTAAAATTAGCGATAATTTGTGTTATAATACATAAATAAGTGTTTTAATATGATTAGAATTGGTAAAATGTATAAAGAAAAACTATGAAAAGTACAGGTAAGGGTTCACATTAGTATAAGTAGACAAAAACATAGGATGAAAGTTCGTAGAGGTTTGGATAAGTTTATATTACAGAATTTTAATGGTTACAGATATAAAATTGAAGGACCATAGTTATAGAATGGAGAAAGTAAAGAATATAAATGGAAAACACTAAAAAGTTTATCGATATGAGCAAAATAAGTGATATGAATCTAAGGAATGAAAACGATACGAAAGGTTAGTTACGACAACTTATTAAATAAGGCTAAGAATATTAGCACTACCATTAAAAACCTCATCACTATCAGTCTTTTTACGTCCCCACTGCGGGGTGCTCACGCCTTCCGATGGCTAAAGAGGGCTATGACCATTCACCCTGCCCTAATGCAGATTGGAGCCGGAACCAACGACTTAACGTGCCTTCCGAAGCACGGTATAGCTCGAAATAATAACTTTTTGATCACCCATCCCGTGACCGACAGCAGCAGATACAGATGACCGATAGCAGGCGCGGCGCCTATCCACTACGCCACCGAGCTACTTATAATCGAACAAAATTGAAGGTTGAAAGAAGAGTCCATAAATAATATTAACTCATATCAGGTTAGAGACATTTTTAAGTTAATAAAAGCAGGTAGATAATACGATTTGTACTAAAATAACAAGAGGTTTCTCTAAGCACCTATATCATATTTAGATCAGAGTTTAAATTTCTTGTAAAACGGAACTAGAACTAGTTCATTTTATAAATAACTTCGATATTGGAATTGATGTCATTCTTTTATTCAAACAATATGCTGTCCTTACGATATCTATGCTTACGCGAGTAAAGAGAAACTGAGGTGTCTTCCTTCTCTCTTTAACCGCCAATATCTACTACTGTATATCTTCTATGGCATAAAAAACCACTTGACCGCTGCGTTCGTCTTAGTTAAATCATTACATAATATAGTGTATGTAATTAAAGTTTTTTGCAACACCTTGTGTGTTGCTAGAGCTTTTAATAATGGCCACATAAAAACATCGGATCAATTCGCTAAATTTAGCTTTTAAGCAATAATAGACACTGAAAATGTTGTAAAAGCATATAAAAGGCTCACGACACTTCTTGTTATGGTTATTCCACCTACATACATGTTACTTATGATTATGAAATTAGATAACGAATAATAACAACCAAAGAAATTTATTATAATTAATTTTTAAGGTATTATATTTTTTACGTCTGTGGCCGAGTGTTTCGCTCGTCAGTTTCAAAGCGTTTTCATATCTGAGCTCCCGGGTTCGATTCTCGTTTGGGCTGATGCATAAAAGTTTTTTTTTTCATATATCCGATCATCAATCTTATGCACATCAGCCAAGTGTGAGTATGACTAGCGCATAGAAGATACCGTGCCGTTTGTTGTATCCTCTCATGATATATTTTTATTCTGTTTTAGTAGCTATTTGTTATATAAATACTTTTTTATTTTTTATGGGATAGGGGCAGATGAACAGACGGATAACTTGATGGTAAGTGATTACCGTCGCCCATGGACACCTGTAACACCAGAGGGGCTACAAGCGCGCAGCCGGCCTTTTAGGGACGACTATGCTCTATGCTTGAAAGTTTGAAGTTCGTATTAATATATGTCCGGAAATATACTATCAGCTGTGAAAAAAAAAAACTGTCCAGCGGACGAATAACGGAGTCTTATAATAGTGTCACGTTTTTACCCTTTGGGTACGGAAACTGAAAAGGCTTGACTTTTGCAATTATAAACTGAACGCACTAACCATTGCTCCATTGTGTTCAGAGAAACTCAGATTTATAACAACAACAAAACATTAGATGGTTTTTTTTTTGGAAATAGAAACTCAGTGAAATTGTTGTGTGACCTCACGAATTATCCTTTTACACTACAATTATTTGTGAAAGTTGACGCGTAACGTA